GCCACTCCCCCACTCCTCTTGCTTTTCAGCAATTCCCAGTTACAACAGCACAGCTGTGGGGGGTCGAGGGAGCAGGGAAGACAGGGAGGAACCTCTTTATATGTTGGCTTTTTGTTAGCTGAACAGTCTGCGCTGACGTTCTGTTCACTAAGTTGCACCAGTATTGTCTCCTGTGGTAGCCCAGGCCACTGCAAGTGCTCCCGGTCTCTCCTCTCTGGATCACTGTGCTCCCTTCCCCCAAGCCCCAACTCAGACACAGGGAAAGCCCCTGGGGCTCAAATCCCTTCTCTACACTTAAATGGACAATAGAACAGAGGCAGGCAGGAGAGCTGTGTGACCAACCAGCCACCTCTCACTTTGCCTTTTACACAGTTATCATTTTTTTTAAAGTAGTAGGAAAAGTCAATACAAGTTACTAGTTAACCAGTTGGCTGGGCTGTCCTCTCCTTCCAGGTATCTATTTCGCTGTGTACCTTGTGCAGGAACCAGAGGGACCTTCCCTGGATACACACCCACACAGCTCTCTGCAGACCTCCCTCCAAGTCTAAATGCGCCTTTCCCTGCTCTCACTCACACACCAGAAGGTGCATGCTCCTTCCTACTGGGGGCATGGAGGAGGTCCTGCAGAGGGCTGCAGGGTGACAGTTGTAGCTACCAAGGAACTTGCTACTTAGCAAAGTCCTGCCCTTCCTCATCCCTTTTCACCAAGGCACAAACCAACATCCTGCTTCTCCAGTTTTCTATCTGATCACCACTCTCTCTTTTTTCTTGCAAGTTGCACCAGCATCCTCTCCTCTGGGGCTCCTGACTGGCCAATGACAAAAAGGCAATGAACAGCGGGGTTGAGGTGACAGTTTCCCTGAGCTCTGTGCCATGTGACCCCAGCAGCCTTCATACCTAAAGTACACTAAAGCCCAGCTGTGAAGCCAGCTAGTCACACCCGGCCGCGCCCCAGGGCAGGGGTGCTGTTCTGTCCAGCACCTGGCATCTGACACCCTCTACTGTTCCACCCAATCCCACACCATCAGAGCTGAATTCTGGAAAGTAGAACCAATGATGACACAGCGGGGGACTGGAGGAAGGGGAAGTCCTCAAGACTTAGGTAAATTTAGGTAAATTTCTGAACTGTCTCCCCACCATTCCCACAATGTACTGCATTATTTGCGGATGGTAACAGATCAAAAAGGAATCAAGTTTTTGACTTTGCTATCTAAAGTAGAAACTGAGAGCCGTGTTTACCGCACAGATTTCAGTCCCGGTTTACAATTTCAACCCACAGCTTAAGTTAAAAAGCCTGGGTTAAATGGGCCCTGGGTTAGAATACCACAATTTGCTTCCATCCATAAACCACCTCCATTCTCTGTTTCTAGTCTCCCCATCTGCTCTTATTAAACACCTCACACTCTCCAAATATAGCCATTTTTTCAGCTCTGATTATTTTTTCTAAAGCGATGACTCTCCACCTGGCAAGAGGAATGCTTCTGGCAAAGGAAAAGTCCATGGTAAGAAAACTCTCCTTTAATGAAAAATAAGGTCCAGGGCCTCCCTGGTGGCACGGGAGGTTGGAGGCCGTACTGTGAAGCTATTCTGCAGCGCGAGTTCGATCCTGGGCGACCAGGGAGAAACCCACATGGTGAGCAGACCTCTCCTGTCTCTCCCGCTGCGCAGCAGTGTATTTCGTCAGTCTGCCTATTCTGTTCCCTGCTCTGTCTCTGGTGAATCCTCTCACCCTCCCACAAATATGGCCTGTACCCCGGTTCTTATATAAATAAATTTTTAAAAAAAAGAAAAAAGAAAAAAAAAGAAAAGGTCCAGAACAACCACAGCCCGTCAGACCCAGGGTGGCAGCAGCAACAGGTGTCAGGGGGTGTAAGGTCCATGCCTTAGTCACCACTCAAACATAGGGATCAAGGACATAAGATCCAGAATCACAGAGCCCAGGTTTCAGGGCAGGCAGTGCTTTCTGTCACTCCCTCCACCTGGGTTCCCCCAAACTCTAGATAGTTTTCTGTAAAACTGGGGCTGTTAATAAATCCTTCCTTGTACACTGTTGTGGGGGAATCAATGAGGTTAATATACACAAAGCACAGGCTCCCACACATGAGTGCTCAATAAATGCCAATTATTCCCAGCCGCCTAGTAATCAGAAAAACACAACAGTCTCGTATCCGAAGTCTTCTAAGCTTTCAAAAAAAAAAGGTTTTTTCCTTTTCCTATAAAAATATCAGTGAAATGTGATATAAAAAAGGAAAATTCAATGCAAGTTCAGTTGAAGCACCCACTCACTTATAACTTAGAGCAAACCATATCATCTCCATTTCCTCATCTATAACGTGGGAATAATACACTGGATTGAACTTGGAGGACTTCAGAGGCAAGACTCAATGAGATAGATACTAGCTGATGAGAAGGCTTTCATTTCTTCAAAGAGAAAGCAGTCAGTCTTGAGCATGATTATTATTAAAATTATTATTATTAAAATGTCACACCCAGTATTGGAGAACATAAACAATGTGATGTTTCTTACTCTTTCAAGAACATTAGGTCTGACAGTCGCTGAATCTGTCTGTAAAGCCTGATCCAGCAGGAGCTAAGCAGCTGTTCCTGCAGAGCCTGAGTTTGGAGTTTGGAGGCTGAGTCTATCCAAAGTGAGACTCGCCCTGCCCGTACCCAGCCCACCGCTCAGATGCCAGTGCCAGGGGAAATTAACAAAGGTTCATGGCTCCACTAGGACTTGTTAAATCAACAACCACCAAAATCTGCCCCTGACCCAGGACTACTCACAGCCCCAAGTAATGGTCAATTCTGACCATGTACTTTGCTACACTGGGCGGTGGAATTCCTGTCCTCACAGGCACACCTCCTTTCTGAGAAAGTGCAACAAGTAAACCAGGAGGAAGAGTTCGATTTTTTCCTTGTTTGATTTTAACTTCTGGGTCAGAGGTTTGAGTTTTATTTTTAGCCTACCATAAAAATTGCAGTGTAAATGCTAGAAGTTAGGGTGGGGACTAATTGTCCTAACTTAATAGGGCGCCTGCTGTCAAAACGGTGTCTAATTTCTTCATTCACAGGTATCCCAAACCCAAAAAGAAAAGAAAAAAAAATTTATGTTTATTAAACATCTGCTGTGTGCCAGGAACTGCACTAAGTGCTTTGCATACATTATCCTCAAAGCCCTTTTTTTCTCCCACACCTAAAAACACCATGATACAGTCAGCCCTGAATGAGAAGCATGGGGGTTGGGGGAATAAAAAATCTGGTAGTCACGTTCTAGACATTTCAACGGTTAGTGTTGTGAACAGTAAAAGGAATCTTGGCTTAGGAACCAGGCCCAAGTTCCTAAAGATTCTCTGCAAGAGGAACACCAAATCAGGTTTTTTTCCAATCATTCTGGAATTAACTCAAGCTATTTAATAAAGTTAAAAACAAAAAACAAACAAACAAAAAACCTCATTGTGGGGCTAATACATCCCAGGCCGAATGGAATTTACAACATCTTTTTAAAGAACCTCTACCATGCGCTTACAGGAGCAACCCCAACAATGGATGGTACCTGTGTGGCCAGGCAAAGCTTCCTGACCTCAGCAGCAATCCCAGCAAAGTAAGTCTTTCTCACTGTAAAATCCAACTCACTTCACCCTGGGGTATAAGCCCTCATCCCAACTGATTGTGTGCACAGCAAACTGTCAGACGGAGCAGTTCAGGACCAAATACACACGGGTGTCCTAATGTTTCAATGCCATTGTCTACACCCTACAAAAAGAAAACAGTAAAAAGCCTTAGGAAAAAAAACACTTCACAATTCCCCTCCATTCCACTGCATTAACCCATTTCACATCAACCATAATTACTGACAGTGTTAAACACCAACATTAAAAGAGCACCAACGTGGTTTGTATTCCTGGAAATACTTTCCCTGCATAAAACTCTGGAGAAAAATCAGGGGAGATATTGGACTAGTTCCTGCCCCTTAATTAGGGATGAGGTAGAGTCCTTGCCTGAGGGGCCTGACCTAAGACGTGTTCCTCCCCACAAACAACCCCATGACCATTTTACCATCCGTGCCAGGACCTGCAACGCGGAGGCTATCACTACATCTGGCTTTCTGCTAACAGCAGACGAGCCTCCCATCTGTGCTAACCACGTCGAGGTGGTTTTTAAATTAAGAATTTCCAGGGTACCACGCAGACCTCCGATAGCGCTGTCACCTTGTAAGGCAGTCGGGGAATGGGGTGGTTCATGATAAGTGACGTAGCGGCTGCCATCCCCTCGCCCAGTCCACCGCTATGACAAAAAAATAAAAGGAAAAGCAAGCACCTGGGCTGCTCTCACGCACACCTGCCCACGGCGACCTCAGCAGCCCACCCCCTGCGCACGCCGGGCTGCGGGCCAAGGCAGGAGGCGGAATCCAGCCCTGGGGGCCCGTGATCCGCCCGGCTACGGTGCGCCCCAGGATCCTGCCTGGGCTCCAGGGGCAGGCCAGTGGCCCGGGCGCCCGGCCGACTGCGCGCACCGCAGCCCCAAGTGCTAATCCCGGCCCGGGCGAGGGCAGATCTTCGCCTCCGCGCCCCCAAAGCCTGCCCCAGCCCCAGCAGCCCAAGCCACTCTCTCTCCCTGGATACTGGGGCTCCCCGGGCTTCCCCCAGGGCCAGCCCCCCCGGGAGATCGGGGCCCGCCTGGCCGCGCCTGACCGAACCCCCAGCTCCTGGAGGTCAAGGGCAGCGGCCGGGCGGCCGCGGGGAGCCGGGAGGGGTCCGCGCCGGTCCGCGCCGCGCGCAGGGACGCGCTGGAGGGGCGGCCGGGAGGAGGCGCCCGGCGCCGCGGCGGGACCGGGGCGCAGGCTGCCCTCGCCGGAGGTCCTCGGCCACCGTCGGCCGCGATGGTCCTGAACGCCGAGCGCCCGCGGGGCCAGCCCGGGAGCCCCGAGTTCGGGGCGCGGGTGGGATGCGGCCCCCGCGGGGCGGTTGGGGCCAGTCGGGACCCCGGAGCCCCGATCTCACCTCCGCCACATGCTGGTGTGTCCCCCGGCGCCCGCGACCCCGTGGCCGGCCCGGGCGGCCGAGCCCCGCGCGGGCCCGAGCCCCGCAGCCCCGCAGCCTGGAGCCCAGCGCACCCGCCGCAGCGTCCGGCGCGGGGATCAGCGGCCGCCGCAGCTCGGGCAGCAGCGCGGCCGCGGGTGGATGGGCGGGCACATGGGCGGGCGGGGGCTGCGGCCCTCGGGCCAGACCACGCGAGCCCGGCTTCGGGGGGCGCAGGTCTAACGAGCCGGGGCGCCGGCGCGTGGGTCCGGCCCTGCAGGACGGCGCGGCCACCTGCGGGCTCAGGGGGCGCCGGACCCTCCAGGTGCGATGCAACAGCAGAGAAATGAGCGGCGGCCACTCCCTTCCTCGTCGCTGCCCCCCTGAAGTCCAGATGGTACATTCCTCAAAGCCCCGCCCGGGAGCGACAGGGAGGAGCTGATTGGTTGGGATTCTTGGAAGGGGCAAGGAGTTACACGAAATGGCCAATGGAAAAATCGGTGGGCAGAGCAAAGCCGGCCAGATGGGCAAAGAGAGGATGCGTTTAAAGGGGACGTGTTTGTTGCGCTGGGTAGCAGCCACAATACAAAACTAGGATTTCCTTTTTCTTTTCTTTTTCTTTTTCTTTTTTTTAAGATTTCATTTATTTATTTATTCATGTATACAAGAACGGGGATGTGCGGGAGGGTGAGAGGATTCACCAGAGACAGAGTGGGGAACAGAACAGGCAGACTGACTGAAATACACTGCTGAGGGGAGCAGAGGGCGAGACAGGAGAGGTCTGCCGCGCAGTGTGGGTATCTCCCTGGCCAGCCGGGATGGAATCCACGCTGAGAGGCTGCAGACAGCTTCACAGAGCTGCGCTCAACCGCCTGCGCCATCAGGGAGTCCCCCAAACTAGGATTTTCTTCCCTATCCTATCGGACAGGAAAGAGTTAGGGAAGCCTCATATTTTTGGATTAGAGAGCTAAAAGAAAATAGAGAATTAAACCGGATAGGTATGTGACTTGGGGTACTTAATTCCATCACTGGGCCTCAGTTTCCCCATCTAATCCAATGATCATATTGGCTAAAATTGATCTCTGATGGTCTTCCTTATATTTTGTGACCCTATGATCCTTTGTATGGGATTGGCAATATTTGCATAAAGCCTTTCTTTTGGAAGCTCCACCATCTTAATAGAACTTTGATTCAAAGTAAGTAGATATTTGTGACAGCAAACCCCTTATACAGACGGCACCAACTCCACCTTTTGTAAAGGGAAATTCAACTTTATTTTCAGCTCCCTCTTCTCTTAAAGCAGAACACTCCTCTTATGTGAGGGAGACTTACCTCCCCCAAATATCTCCTTATTAGTAGGCTTCCAAATATCTCCTTATTACTATGATATATCTCCTAACCACCTCTTTCTTTCTCCACATAATCAGGCAAAGCTTTAATTAATAATTCATTCACCTGTTGAACCTTCCAGAATGCCTGCTTTCAGCAAAAAATCCCACTGGTCAGTCCACATTAGAGTTGCTAAAGCACTGGTCTCACTCTGAAGTCTGTAGTAGACCATGAAACTATGCATGGCCAATTATGCTTTTAGTCATACTGCTTGTCAAAGGCAAGACTTTCAGAGCATCCCTTGAGGGCTTAGCCTGCTCTCTGCTGGGGCTTTATACAGTCAGCCAGGTCTACATTTGGCTACCAAGCTTCAGACCAACTCCACCTTCTTTTTCCAGAACTTTTCAACCTCCCATCATCTGATCACTCAACACTCACCCAACCCTTTCCCAAGGTATATCATGTTTTTGGTCTACCTTTTCTAATACCTCCAGTTCCTGTTCAGATAACTCATCTTCCAACTCTTATTGAAAGAGTTCTAGAAAGTTCCAGGTCTACCAGGAAGCCTTCCCAGATTGATTACCACAAGCAGCTAGCTTACAGACCTCCAGTTTCTACTCTGTGCTGCAACCCCATAACGATGATTTTCCATGCATTCTGCCCCATATGCAATTTTATTGACATATGTTCCTCTCTCAGTCATTTACAACAGCAGCGGAGCAGCAATTAAACTCTTACTATGTGCTAGGTACTGTTTGAAAGTACTTTGCATATATTATTTCACCCTCATGTCAGCTCTTTAAAGTGCTGTTATTATTCCTGTTTTGGAAAGGAAAGAAAACAAGGTTCAGAGAGGTTGGTTTGCCCAACCACACAGTGAGGTCTAACTGTAGTGCCTGCTTTCAAAACCCCACAATCAAAACTATCTTCTATTTCTAAGAACCCAGTGCCTTCCATGCAAAAAATAATGCCACACACTTATATATGTTTTGCATTTAATTTTTTACCTATAATCACTTCAGCCTCAAAATAATCATCTGAGGAGGGTTGAGAACAGTTTGTTTACAGACAAGGAAAAAAACTAGAGCTCAGAAAGGCTCACCAACTTAGCAACTAATGGAGCCTTGTTTTCCACTGAAATCCCTGCTCCTGAGTGAACACAACTCTTTTATATGCAACAAGTAAAGAACAATTACAAGCAACAAGGGAACAAATACAAAATAGCAAAACCATCCCATGGATCCAGGCAGTATGATACCAAAACATACAGTGGGCAGAAAACAAGTCAAGGAAGATTTCTAGAAAGTGGGGAAAGCACTGTTTTTCTTTTTATCATTTGTAGTTTTATAATCTGTCGGTGAGTTTGTCTTTGTTGCAGCTGGCAAATATAACAGCAAAAGAAAATAAAAACTGCCTCTACTGCCTGGAAATATAATAACCCCCAGGTCCATGAGTAAGGAACATTTACAAACAGTGCTATTGCCCACTCATTCCAGGAAGTTTCTGATGTGCTATTAGTAGTAAAATCTTGCTGCACTGACAATGGTAACACAGCCCTGATAATATAAGCTGGGCTAATGATCTCATTCTTTTAAACTGCTGAAATCCTCCTCGTTGGACTAAGCACACTAGCAAAATGGTATAGGAGCAGTTAAACTCTTAATATTGATTAAGAAGCCTGAGCAGGGCAGTCCTGAAGTCACTACTTCTGAGTTGCTCTTGGCCTGACCCCTCCCTAGTCAATCTAGTTAATTTTCATTCCCATAACTTGCCTGTCTTGTCTTATCCCCCGAGAGCTCTAAAACATTCCTGCTTATTTGAGCACTTTATTTATATATTCAAACATTTATTAGGTGCCTATGATGTGCAAAGATCTGCCAGGTTGTGTGGCATTATCCTGATGTATCACAGTTGAAATCTATTTACTGAGTGGACAAGGATGATAATTATCAGACCCAACTGGTGAGAAATGGATCAGCCTGACTCAGAATGTGTGACATGAGTCCACACCCAGTTCAGAGTATAAGCTCATGGTGATATGTCCTGACCCTTAGCGCGGAAGAAGGAGCATAGGGCTAAGTTCTGGAAGAGAGCAGGGGTAGGGGAGATGGACACGTGTATTGGGAAGAAAGGTGGAAAGTTAGAGGAGACCTAGAAAGAATTGGACACACACCAAACAGAAGGGAGAATAATGTAAATCCATGATCTGGCCATTGGAAGAATTGTGTTAAGTCAGTCTATTTTTAAGGAAAAAAAAAAAAAACAGTTCTTATCTCCAAAGCAATACATGTTCATATTGCTAAAAATTTTAATAGTAAAAAGTACAAAAAAAAATACCCATTATCTTTACCACTATCTCACTGTTATCATTTTGATATATTTTTTCCTTTATTTTTTGTGAACTGTATATGTGTCTTGTTTTCAACAAACATTGATCAAACTGCTTTGCAATCTACTTTTCTCCTTAACAACTGAAGGGAGTTTTCCTATGGCTCTGCATTTTTGTCCAAAAATGTGATTTTTAAAATAGTCGCAAACACAGCTATAACTTAAGTTATTTAACCGAGGTTGACTCCATTTTTATTCATTAAATTGTTTCCAATTTTTCATTGTTGTGTGTAACCTTCAGTACCATCCATGTCTGTAAAGGTTTGTGTGTTTGTATGATTCTTTTCTAGTATTTCCTTTTTTTAAAAAAAAGATTTATTTATTTATGCATACAAGAACTGGGGTACAGGCTAGAGGTGTGGGGGGTGAGAGGATTCACCAGAGACAGAGTGGGGAGCAGAACAGGCAGAGCTACTGAAATACACTGCTGAGGGGAGCAGGGGGAGAGACAGGAGACGTCTACTGCGCCATGTGGGCAGCTCCCTGGCTGGGGATCAAACTCCTGCTGCAATGGCTGTGGATACCTTCATAGGCTGGTGTCTTAACCCCTTGTATCACCAGGGAGGCCCCTGGCCCAAGCTTTTAGATGGACAAGTTCAGCTTTCCCGGGGCACTACACCTAGTAAGGACACATGGTCCCAAATGCTTTGTTTCCATTTGAGGTTGTTGAACTTCTGTTTGATTTAACTCTGATTCCTTTTCATTCATTCATCATGGGTGTCTATGATGGGCAAGGCACTTGTGGATGCTGACAGCACCGCAAAATCAATAAGACATAAGGTCTGACCTCAAGGAGTTGACAATAGAGCAAGGAAAGTGAGACACAGATAGAAAAGGAAATTTGCAGTGCAGCCGGCGAGTGGTCTTTCGAAAGAAAGAGAGAAAAAGGGTGCTCCAAGAAGCGAGCCTCCTTTTTTTCTTGTCCTAGTTCCCACATGCAGAGAACAAGAGAGTTTCTACCTCGCTGGACCAGGGCTTTTCAGAAACATCTCACTGCCCCAGCAGGGAGGTAGTTGGAAACATAGAAAGAAAGAGAATCGAAAGGGTAAATACCAGCATGTCAAAAATCTAGATAAACAGAGGAATGGGTGGGGTTTAGGGCTTTTTAGAATTATTCTCTTTTTGGTTATTTGTGCTTTTTTATTTTGGGAAAGAATGGGTTTTGGAAAAACTTTGAAATGATAAAAAAAAATCACATATTTCAAAGAATAGCAACCACCCCAAAAAAAGGGAAAGAAAATGGAATGAGAACCACATCTGTGTCTCTTCCAGATGTCATAGTCTTTTGGATTCTCTGGAAATCCACAACCACAG